TAAGAACAGACTCAAACCACACTCAAATCAACACCAATACTCATACCCTAATTCTTTCAGATCTTATCATTTTTGAAGTTGAAGAAGAATGCATCAATAATTATACTCTTTACTTGATATGGTTTAATTCGGAAACATCAGACGTTATCTGCATACAAACTTGTTTCTGGAGCTCATTTGTTGTAGAAAAAAGAAGACATTTTTTTATGTATTAGTGTTTTCCTTGTTTATATTGTTGAATTAAAACAATATGTGGTATTTTTGAAAAAATCAATAAGCTATTTCTACAAAACAAAGAAAATGATTTTCATGTCGCTACCCCCAATGACAATTGGAGTTGTCAAATCACCGTGCGTACATGTAAGGACCCGTGGTCAATCTGCTTATACCATTGGCCTACTGAAGAGGACAGTACTCCATTTCAATAGTTGTTTTATTAGTGACTCTTCTGGAACCGTTATGGGAGGTAAAGAGTTAAACAGAGAAAAATATCACAAGTTCAACGACTCAAAAAGCTCTCAAAATGAGCGCCAATTCATATAAATGTTTATATATGTAGTAGCTGTAAAGCTTATTCTAAAAAAAGGCTCTTTGCTGTCCTGTATCTTATTATGCTCTTTTAAACAAAAAAAAAGTTATTGGCTACAATGAAGCTCTTTCAAGAATTTCGGAATGCCAGATCAGAAAAGGATAAACAGAAAACTCGAAAAAGATTCTCAGATTTTTGTAAAAAGGGCTTATTTTCGGGTAGCGAGTGACGAAAATCCTTAAAAATGTTTAGTAAAAACGACATAATAATTGAAAATCTATATCATTTTCGAAACAGCAAACTTTGAACTATCTTCTCATACACTCATGTCAATGTCGTATTTCTGACGAATATTGACATTTTTTTGACGGGAGAAGGCCTTAAAGATTTATGGTGATCATCTTTAGATAGTCTTTGAAAAATTATAGGGATTAGCCCTATTATATTTTAAATTAACTTTTACTTGATAAGAAAGTCAAAATAAAATAATATTTTCTTCATTTCAATCACTTAATCATTTAATATTAATGAATTAAGTGGTTAAATGAAAAAACTTAATTTTAATATTAAGTGTTAAGTGAAACACTTAATTAAGTTTTTTAATTAAGTCCCGTTAAAAAAGATGGCCCATCCTAACCCAGATCATGTACCTTGTCGAGGGAAGGAATCAAACCTTCTGATGTCTGACTAACAGTCAGATGCATAAAACCACTATGCCATCCTCGGCTGGCGATCCAAGCTCGTGAAAAGTTACCTTCCCCTAATTATTCATCCTTGTCCATCCCCTATCACAATACGACACGAGCTTATGAACAACTTGAAAACTATCGTAAAGCGATAAAACATGCTGAATGGTCTGTTGAAATGGCTCGGCAAGCTTTTGGTCGTCAACATTCCGAAGTGACCGAAAATCAAACATACGTCGAACATCCACGCAAAAAATTACAATACTTTACAAAATAAAACCAATTTTCTTCCGAACCATTTTATGATGACATTTTCATTTGGTCTTTTCTCAGCTTCTAGAGATTTTATTTTGTTGATTAAAATAAATAATTAATCGTGAAAAAGATCCTAATTTACGCATATAAAAAGACAATATATGTATTAAGTAAATTCAAATGCTATTCGTCACTATGTAATTTCGAAAATTTCCTCGATTTAATATCCCGGATGAATGAACCAGTCGATCCAATATCTCTCACATATCATCCTTTTCTAAACCTTTATACAAACAAAAAGGTATATATCAGACTGCACTTCGTCTTCCTCAATCCAACATCGCACAATAACTCCATTTAAATCTTCGTCATCATCTTTACTAAAAACATTTTCAATTTGTTAAAACTTCTTTTAATCTCTATGCACATATATCTTAAAATAAAAAAACAGTATATACAAAATAAACATACTCTTTTGTTTTTTGTTGACCTTTTCAGGACGGAATTTTATCGAATAGAATAGTGATTCTTCAACTATTTGACGTAAAATAATTCCATAAAAATCGAAAACACAGCCATTGCTGTTGACATTAAGATATGAATTGCCAGAGTCGACTCTATTATTTCCATACAATTCCTTTTATTTAGTGTTAACTATAAACAGAATATAAAGAAATGAAGAATACACGTATTTTTATTTTCCTCAGCTTAGAAAAGCGAACAAGATTTATTCAATAATATCAAATATTTGAGAATTCATCTGATGGTTTTTACCTAAACATCGCCACATATCTGTACTTCGCGTAATCGAAGAAAAACGATAAATGTTTACCAAATCACGACTTTACTGTACAATAGTGGAACGAAAAGTGAACATTTGAAAGAGTCTATCGGAGAGAAAGAAAAGACAAGTACAAGATGATCTTTGCAGTTACCTTAGACCTATATGGCCTTGTAGGTCTAACACTTCAATGCAAACAATATATATTTTTCCTATTGAAAAACATTGGTATATACGTATGTATCACCGCCCTCGAAGGATTAAAAACACGTTTACATCTCATTTTTCTGTGAAAATAGTCTTAATCGACACATATAATACTATTCTAACCTTATCTATACCACTTCCATGTTTGTAAAGGAACACGAATGTAAAAATCATATGTAGTGTATTTTTAGAAAAACAATCTGTTATGACCAATTTTGTGTTTACCAATTTGACTCCACTATTTTAATCTATACTACTAGCAGTGAATTTTTGCATTAATTGAGACAGAACAAGCGAAACCGTATTATGATTAGCTATGTAAATCTTAAAATCAACTTAATCATTATGATCATTTCATATAATCACTCGAATACGTGACCAAAGATATGATGGTGAGTAATATATTTCACTTTCAAACTTTATTCATCCATACAACATTGCTTTTCAATTGCAATGGAAAACAAATCCATACGATTATTCTAGTAGTTATTTCTGACAACAACTTAGTTTCCATAGTAGATTTTCTCTTCATATACAATTTACATTTCTTGCACCATATATAATGTTGTAAGAAAAGAATTTATATTTTTTAGACAAGAGATTTTTATTGAGATAATAACCGAACAAGATTAAATTGATAACAAAGAAAAATATCAACAAAAATCTTTTATATAAATTATGGGGTATCGACAATTAATTGTTTCACTTTAGCAAAATTACGTCGCGTTTCATCTCTTGTAAAGTTTTTTGTTACCAAGCCCAACTATTGATAACTGACTTTTGATTCAGTTAAACTAGGTAAATGTGTTTTTGCTTCATTGAGAAAATGTTCAACATAATAAGTACTTACATAATCGATGTCAAGTGAAATAAGATGAGCAAAATCAATAATTGAGTACCAATCCTTATGGTAAAAATGATATTTGTGACGTCTAAAAAATAGTGGTTCAATATTTCAAATTGATAAATGTTTAAGAACTACAAAAGCTAGAGCAAGTCGAACGAAAAATGAATGTTTGCATGACTTTGCATCCCGTAACTTGAAATAACTAACAAAATTAAACAGAATATTTCGAATATTTTTTCCAACGTGTTGAGACGATCAAATTTAACTGGAAGTGAAAAAACCCGACATGTCATCTTGATAGAGTCGAAATAATCTACCATACAAGCCACTGGTCGATGTTTGTGAAAGTTCGTTCAATATCTGAAGTAGATGTACGAATAATTGCATCACCTATGTCGTTTTTACAAGCGATATAAAATATAAATGCATGAAGTCGTGGCATATAAGAATTTTATTATCAATGAGTACCAGAGATAAATGTGGGTCCATCCAAAATATGAATATATAAAGTTAATTCTTCGAGATATGACATTCGACGAAGAAGAGATAGAACTTGCTTACGATATGCTCGGGTACCATTATAACATATTAATGAGAAACATTTTAAATTAGGTAGCTCATCCTGAAAAATTGAAAGCGAATCTTTATAAAGTTATCTTTATCAGTTGAACTAAGAAATAAATTGACATGAACCGCTATTCAATAGATGATATTCATTTTCCAAATTTTGTTCTTAAACGGTTCTTCAGTTCTCTGAAATGTGTTCTCCAGTAATAATGATAATAAATATGATTATATTATATCTATTAAGTTCCGCCGCAAAAGAACTAGTGAATGATTTAACAGATCAAATATTGTATAAGGGTGAATCTTCTTAACGTGTTTCAAAGCATGGGATAAGATTCCTTACATGAATATCAGAAAAAAAAATTATGTTTACAGAAAATAAACATTTCTTTTAAAGAAGTATGCTCATTTCCAGAACCGGTCAGACTCGAACAACATTGGAGGGAGGAGTGGCCGAATTTTTCTGCTTAAAAGGTCGAGTTTTTAAATTTTTGGGGGATGCAACGTTATTTCTGACGAGAAATAGAAGAAAATCCCATGATTTTGTTGAGCAAAAAATATCACTTTTTTAAAGATTGGGGCTTTTTTACACCCTTCCTCACTCAGTCGGGCCACCAGTGCTCATTTCAATAGTAAAATGAAATGAAATTTTAAAAAAGTTCATTGGTTAAAATGTTTTTTTTTGGAATCAACCATATCTGTCTAATTTGTTTTAACTTATATGAACAAGTCCCATAGATTTAATACGAAAGATATAAAACAAAATTCTTTTGTATCGGATCACTTAATAATTACAGAGATGGATTTTCAAATGAGTGATGATTAATTATAAAACAACAACGAATAACATCGGCACAAGTATAAAAATCTATTGTATTTATTTCCTGATAATCAAAATAAAAAATAATATTCACTAAAGCAGAAATTTCATTGTTTATTGCACTTCTAACTAACTTTATTTTCTTGTCGATATTATACATTAATTAGAAAACGATCACAACTCCCAGCATAGACTCACCATGTTGTACGATGATGCTATCAAATCGTCGATAAAATGAATTTGAACAATGAATGTAGTTAATTGTTTCAGACGACCATCAAGTAAAGCAGGACAATCACCCAAAAACTTCACATGGATACGTAACTTAGTAAGTGTCGAAGAGAAAAAGTCATTGGTGATATATTATATAACGATAAAAGTCGATAATCGTTGAAAGATGATAGCACGATGCTCGGATGCTTTAAATTTTCAAAGAAAGTAAACATAATTGCATAAACATTCTTCGTATACTCTTTTGGTGTTATTTCAATATTGTTTTCATTACTGATTAAAATAAGATCCGTAATTTGTTTACCAATATGTCCAAAGAGAGTATCGTCTAAACGAAATCTATATCATTTAATCTGAACATCGAAATATTTTTCTATGCTAATGTTTTCAAAGATCAGTACACACTAATATCTTACCCATAACACAATGTGAAACGACTGTTTTGCTGAAATTGAAAAGTCGAAGTTCAGTAAGATTGGGATAGCTACCAGCACGAAGAATACATTCCAAAGAAACAGGTTCAAGGATGAGAGATTTGACATTTTGATGAACTCTTGGTAATATATCAATACAAAATCGATCTAATACCAAGCCAGGAATGGAAGAAATCTCATCAGCTGATTGTGATGAGGACACAAAATTAAACAAATTGATGAATATTTGTTCTTGTGCTATGATATCAAGTCGTTGATTATTTATACCCAGTAAAGAAAAAAGAACATCAATTTTGTCAAGTATTTTCAAAATGAGAAATAATATTTCATTTGGAAGATCAAGAGGATGAATATTATGCTCATTCATATTGGAATGTGGCTCTATCGCCTATCTTAATACGGTATATATACTTATCTATTGATTGTTTGTTCATAAACACTTTCCTCATTGGAGAAAAAAAGTTGATCTTTTTTGTTGAGCGAAAAAATATAATATTTCTATGGTCGGATATCGTCGCAGACGAATGTTTTTTTCGTTTTCATTCTTTATGTCTATATAAATGCGATCGCTGTGGCGATTACATCATGCATGAACAGAAAAAGATATCCATTTAGGAAGATGGAAAATGAAAAATTAATCAAATGTCAAATATTCGACTGTATTACCTCGTAGTAATTATTTTTTTTGGATAAATGATAAAAACTGATGGTACAACATTCTTCTGTTCCGATATTAAGAGAAAATTTTCTACAAATAGGAATATAAGTGCTTGATTTAATAAGACTTTCATGTCTCTGTAATGTACTATATTCAGATAACGATAAAAACTGTTGGGAATATTTGTGGAACTATGGATGCAGTGCAGTGATTGAATAAGTACAAGTACCACAAGTACAAGTACCTATGCTTAGTACTGAAAAAGTGTACTTTGGACTTTTCTTAGATACTTTCTGCTTGAGTATATTTTACGCAGCAGATTTACCAAGTACAATTGTACTCAAGTACAGTAAAATTAAGCACATTAGAGTATTTATAACTATAATGACGTGCTGCTGCACCTTTAATACATTAATACTGATATTTGGGTGTATGACACAAACCTAATGTGTACAATTTAGCTACATCTGTAGTAAAATATACATGAATGGTGATTAATGCGATAGTTCTATATCATTTACAATTATTATTTTCAATTATTGATTGTATTGCACCATAATTATTTTCCTAATCAAACTTATTTCGTCGAGAGCATGACATACTTGAGCATCTTGATCAAGAAAGTCATGTGCTATGAAAACATCTGGAGATCAAGCCAGGTCTAGCGCATAGGAGACAAAATTTCTCGGAAAAAAGTACGATTAGGAGTTGTAAATATTTTTCTCTTGAAACGTTTTTCACGTGGACAAGAGTTTATCTCAAGAAAAAATGATCTACTACATTTAATCACTGTTTTAGTCGGTATTTTTTGTCTCATCTATATAAACTTTTTGAGTAAGAAAGTCATGCTCTATGGACACATCTTAAGGTCAAGTCAGATCATGCGTGTGAGAAAAAAGTTCAACTAGGGTATGCAACAATGTTTAATTTGCAGCAATAAAAGACTAATGTTGTCATGTTTTTCATTAGACAAGTGTCCAATTCCGTAATGGCTTATCAAATTTTTTTTCTCTATATCAGACCATAATAATAAACATTAAGTTCAAAAGCTTATATGGATGCAATGATGTGAATTAACTTTGTAACTTTAAATAAGTTAAAGCAACTTGCGCTTCTGTAAGCGAATCTACCAGTTATATATTCATGACAGAAATATACAAATCTCCACATAACTTAATACAGGCGAGATTATGGGTTCTAGATTCTCACTGCAATCCAAAATAAATACTTTGCATAATTTAAGTTTTTTTTTAATTACGTTTATAACAAGCTATGTATCTTTTTTGAACGATAGGACAAAAAGAGTTTGACATAATTTGTCAAAGTTACGTAACAAAAGAAGATAAACTCTTAACAGCAGGACTGGTCACTAAAAAGCGAGATTCATTTATTAAGGCTGGAACTATTAACCCTTATATTACCACCTGGGTGCCTTGTTGAACCCGGAGAGTTTCGTTTCTTGTTATATTTGATTCACATGATATCTAACTTGGTCCTATTATATATGTTTTAGAGAAAGTTAGTAAGATATACCGATAACATCAATCAGTGAAATCCAACTGTTGTTGTCGTATTGTAATAGCTTAAAATACAAGTGAACGCTTCTTTACCACCTGAAATCCGTAAGGACCTCAGCCAATTTCTTTTCAAATTTATATATATTAAACATCAGATGGAACTTGGACCCTGTAAGTATGCATTAGCAAAGGATAGGAGTTTACGTCCATCATGTCAATAAATCAATGTCACTGGCTGCTGACGCGATACCATGACGAAAAGTGCTCATGAGAGCTAATTTTGTGAGATATGCTTAGAAACTTCATGGAGAACGATAAATAATACAAGACTGAAAAAAGATTTAGTAAATATAAATCAAATCATTTGCTTTTCTGTTTGTTCTTCTTGCCATAAAGTCTCCAATACACCCTCTATACATCCGTTAAACTAATTATAATATTGTACATTATTGTTGTCTGTTCAGCCTGGGATCCGCGCTGAATCCAGGTGGAAATCAGGTTACTATCTCATAGGTGGTGAAATGAAGGTTAACTTTGCTGTCGATCGATTTTAATGTTTGTAACGAATCTAAGATTAAATTAAGTTAGAGTACTCCAAGATTGACTAATATTCACTGTTAAATTAAGAGTATGATTCACACCATTATGATCTATTTCCAACAGATCTATGAAATAATAGAGAACAGTAACTTGATCATTACTTTTATGATATTTAACTTTTTTTTTATTACAGAAACTCTTCATCAAATGTAAAACTTTTGATCCTTTCTGTTTTTATAACAGTACGCATCATTAAGACGTTTTTTTTTGTCTCAAACATGAAAAATCAACAGAAAGATCTTCAGCATGAACATTTGCACATAATGAAATAGTTGTAATTGTTTTAATTATACAGGGTAGCCAAAAAATCGCTTTACCGAAAAAAGATCGAATATCTGTATTATGGCTTGTGCAAACGAGCTTATCTTTTTGTCAATGATAGAGGCATGCTCAAGCTTGATATACATAAAGAGATCCCTAGAGAGATCCATCATTAAGTATCAGCACCACTATTGACCTGAACAAAAAGATTTTACTTTTTCGCAGGTAAGAAAAAGAAATAATATATTTAATAAAGAGTGTCTCTAGGGATCTCTTTATAGATATGAAGCTTGAACATGCCTCTATCATTGGTAAAAAGATTAGCCGTTTGCTCAAGCCATAATACAGATATTCAATCTTTTTTCGGTTAAGCTACTTTTGGGCCATTCACCATTTTACTTCTTTTTTTTCTCAAGTTGATATATATATCTCAATCGTACTTATATGTAGTAATACTTGAACAAACTTGAGTTCTTTGTAATCGTAACTTATCTGTCGAAATATTTTTCTTATTTGGTTACGTTTATGATTTGAAATCGGTGACGAATTATGTTTTGTTATTTGGTTATGTCCCAATGTAATCGTTATTGTCAATTGGTTATGATGAGATGTTCTTCCGTTTAAAACAAAGAAAAATGTACTGATGATAAATTTGACTGTGATAAGAGAATAAAGGTCACAAAATTCTACATTTTTTGCAGTATAAGAAAAGAAATTATTAGCAACGCATAATTGTATTTTTAAAATTCTCGTTTAGTAATTGGGAATATACAATTACAACTACTCGAAATGAACTAGGATGAATCAACTTTACTTCGGAAAAAATAAGGATCCTCACAGTTAGAAAAGTCACACTGACGACTAGCCCCGTCGAAAGAGAGGGATATCGAAGTTAAAATACGTTCATTTCTCCAAGCGATGCCGAAAATATCTCCTCTAGAAGAATCGCCGCTTGTTCGACAGGTAATAGCCTTGAAGCTAGGCATGTGCTGAACCCAAACATTCGGATTCGGTCTTAAGCTTAATCATTTGCAGTTACTTTATAAAAGGAAGTACTATAGTAACTATTTAGTTGAAAGAAAAACTTTCAAGGTTGGTTATTAAAGATCTATACACCATATAAACAATTATTCATAAACTACAGAAACAGAGATGTTCTAGAAAGATTTCATCAATGTTCGAAAATACTCAAATTGGACCGAAGCCGCCAAGTGCTTACATGATCTCTTCGGTATATCGAGAAAATCTTAGATAACTGTCTGAACACACTATATTGTGTAAACCGGTCGACTTCTTCTCGAATTCGAATCTGAACGTGAATCGTTCGGTCCTGAGTTTTGAGCGGTGTGAGTTAGACATCGACGTGACCGGTCACGTCCATAGACTACCCTGCCGTCTGATTGGTGTTGCTATGGACCACCATGATGATTCTATGACAACACCAATCAGACGACATGGTATTCTATGGTCGTGACCGATCACGCCGATGTCTAGTGGGGATGTGGGTGTAGGGTGTGGATGTGGTGCTTAATCTTATCTCAACCCACATCCGCACCCCACACACCCACACCTACCCTTCTGGGAAACATCGGAGTCTGCCGATTACGCATACCTACTGTATAAATATACCAGATGTGAAATTTATTATTAATAGGTCACATTGTTTTCATAGAAAAATGACAAGTCAATTTTTTACCAGTAATAAAAAGTACAATCATTTTTACGACGTACGAGAGATTTTTCCTTAAATGCAAATAAAATACACAAAACCACATATGCAGCATCTTGCATGTCTCTATGCCAGAACTCATTAAATCACTCAACTATTCCATGAGATGTTCCGATATCATTCTACGATGTACCTCTTGGGTGTAAGTGTGTCATATCATACCTACATCCATGTTCAAATTATTTTATTGGAATAATATAAAAAAAGAAAAAAAGAAATTGATGTTTTTCAAAGAACTTATCATTCACAATATACATTTTGATGATTAATTTGAAACACATATATCTTTCTTGAATATTAAATAATAAATTTTAGTTAGAATTACAAAATATTTCTTTTGATTAGAAACAATTATTCTCAAATAGAAGATACAATTGTTAAAATTTATTGGAAAGAAAAATAAATATTTTATCGATTTGCTCGTTTAAATAAATATGATAATCTTGTTTTTTATCCAACAAATCTTTTTCATTTAGATTATTTTTAAAAAAATATTATTGTTTCTCAATGAATTTTCAATTCTTTTTAATTAAATTTCTTCTTTTGAAAGTAAATTGTTAGTAATAGACAAAGTAATGGATAACCAATTATTGAATAATAAT